TTATTATTATTATTATTATTATAAACGTTATTTTTAGTGGGTAGCCGTATTTAAGTTACTGCCCCTGTGAGGTCAGCATCGAGTGGCGACACTGTTTCATACTTAAACGTTCAAGGATGAAAGAATATGTCATCACTCGGTGTTGACCTCAATGCCCACCATATATATATATATATATATATATATATATATATATAACTAAAGAGGGCATAATTGTTATTAAAAATTACATGAATATAACGTAAACGCCTTTTTATAATGTTTTTAACAACCCAGTAATTTTTAAAATTTAAAATATTTCAAACATTCTATACAGTAAATGCGTATGTCAGTGTGTCACAGTTTTTCAGTTTTACTCCTAGAGGCCATAGCCAAACATATCATACAATTTTGGAATCAAGCCTACTCCGTGAGCAAATTAAAAAGATTCCGGACCGAATCCAGACCCGCAAAACTGAAATTTTGGATTCCCAAATTTTCATTACTGCAATTGTTTTCAACGATTTATTACGTGATTTTTTACGACGAATTGTTTTGTACGATAACGATTTTTATAACTTGGAAATCAATTCGGGTATAATCGATATTAATTGCGAAAGTCACTCATGGAATAAAAAATAATTGTTTGTATAGAAAGTAAGGACCAACGTACATCAAATTGCCTTTAAATTAAGTGGTGGCAGAAGAATTATCGTTGAAGTTTTAAAAGGTAAGATTAAATATTAATGCAATCAATCAAGGGTGAAAGAATCTGTCAGCGATCAATTTTGAGTTCTTCTTTAGTTTATTGTGGCCTATTGTTATGAAGGCCCAATTAAGAGCCTTCCGCAGGAGCTAGCTAAAATGCCGCCCTGTCGGTTGGCTTTTAAGCTAGTATATATATATATATATATATATATATATATATATATATATATATATATATATGGAGAGATAAAGAGAGATAGCAGTGGTATATCTACTATTAAACTAATGAAGCTTCAGGTTCCTTAATCCAAAGAGAAGCTCTGACATAGCGAAATTTCCAACAAAAATGGCGTATTATTTAAGGATATACTATTAGAATAAGGCTGTTTTAGTAATAGATCCATAAACCACTGGATTTGATCATTTAGTGTTGATCTTAGAATAACATCCTCAAAATATCCCTGTAATCGGTCAAATTTCGAAAAAGTTTTTTTTTTTTTATGAGGTGGCGAAGAACTTGCAGCATCCGAACTCCTGGATACCCAGGATACACTGTGTTCGTCAAAATCTATTTATAACCTAAATTTTATCGACTGGATCCTTGAATCCTTCATTGGTGCACAGTTTAATAGTCCTATAGATCAATCCTTCGGCAAGAGCCCATCGGATCCATAAAAAACATCTGAATTCTCAATTCAAGCAACGCTCATCTCATTTGTGTAAAAGAATCAAATTTCTTCCTCTTTCTATCGTAACTATTATTCTCTGATCACTTTCCCCCTCTCTCTTAGAAAGAGAACCAATACGTTTTCTGCGCATCTTTAAATATATTTTTATTAGTTAATAGTATAAAACAGTTAAAAATGATAATAAAAAATGTAAGTAAATAAAAGTCAAATAGTCTGATTTTGTGTTATACACTTACTTTTATGAGAAGTGAATTGAAAGAAAGCCAGACAGTTTGTTGAAAACTATTTCATTTGTGTGTAAATGTTTCTTTTTTTTAATTTAGAATTGCCTCTAAAAAGGACCGCCAGAAATAACTGTCATGGTGGAGAATTCATTTTGGGAATTCATTTTTTTCAAATTTAGAAAGATATATTAGCCTTATATTTTTGTCCAATCAAAGGAGTATTTCCACCATCGTAAATTTAAAGTTGAAGCGCGTTTGATCCACCCTGAGAGTATATAAGAACACGAGTCAGCGGAAAACGGAAAGAAAGGTGATATATCACACAGGAGAGTCGAAGCCGGCTGGCTGCTGCAGAAGGGGTTTTGACGTCTCATGCGACGGAAGTCGGCTGGCATAGGACTTGGACGTCAGATACGAAACAGACCAGCTGGCTACAGAAGGATTTTAGGCTTCCTCATGTGAAAGTCGCCAGAAAAGCAAAATGCAGAAAGGTTTCGGCATTCTTAAAACTACGCCAACGAAAGACATTTCACAATAACATAAAACTTCCCGGAGACTCTCGTGGGAAAAGCAAAATCCTGAGAAACGCGTGGAAACCAAGCAAAAAAACGAACGACATTGCAAAAAGATCGTTAAAAGTCCCTATGGATCACATGGAAGCCAAGCAGAAAGAAAACAATGAAATTGCAAAAATATCGTTAAACCTCCTAGAGAAAGCTTGTGGGGAAAAAAACGTAGGTTTTTCGTTTATCTATTTTCGTGGGTGCTCTTCTTTTTCTGAGAATAATATCATCTTTTTTTCTAAGAGTAATTTCTTCTTTTTTTCAACAGATTGTGCATCATCTTCTCAAAGTTTTTTTTCTTTTATCATTTGAAAAATTTGTATTTTTTTAACCAATTCTTTTTATAATTTTATGTTATCTTGCCTTGTTCATAATAAGATGCATGAAAGGAAATTTTTGTGCAAGCCTTTTTTTAAAATTTGTACTCTGTTACACTGTTTTGTATCTGTAGAAAACATGTTTTACCTTTCACATTTCACGTAATAGTTTTGTGTCTTATTTGTTATTGTATGCGCCTTTTCTAATATTCGGGATAAGAGGGGAGACATTCTCTCTTTTCTCATTCACAGCCAAGAAAAAATTCTATTATTTCCTTGGGCAAAAGAATCAAATTTCCACTTTTTTCTATCCTAACTTATTCTCTGATCACCTTCCAATTCTCTGTTAGAGAATGAACCAATATATTTTCTTCGCATTGGCTTTGAGTGACATGATTTTCCTTCCTCTAAATTTTCTTTTTCTTCATTTCTGATGAGTTTTCAGCTATATATTTGCTAGTGTTTAGCGTTAAAGATGTATAGGTCAAGCCATGCTTATAAGTACACCTTGAACTACAATTATCCATATTATATATAAATATCCATAAACTGCGCTTATGATATTTTGCGTGTATATTCCAGTCTTCGTTACCCATCAAGAAATGCTTCAGTTCCCATATTACTCTATCCAGTGGTGGCTCATAAAAATCTTTTCCCTTTTTTTAACAAAGGTCAAGACCCCAAGAGAAATGTTTACGAAAGTAATTAATTGGATACCAAAAACATAAACTCAAGGACAAGCGATCCGAATAAATTTCTAACTATTTTACAATTTCAAGTAAAAGTTTTGTCAAAAGCTGAAATTAGACATGCAGGCACCAATGAAGTAAGTGACAGTGCACAAATTATGGGAACTCTTTCTAGTGATATACAAAACCTGTTGACACTTTTAGTATATATTACGGTCATAATGGTCAACATGAAAGAATCGTGGAACCAGTTTAGAAACAGGAAACAGGAAGCAGATTTAGCGATTTCAAAGAATACACTGACCTCGCAAATTGACCCATAACAATTGTTAATGATTTTGTGCATAATTATTTAATGGAAGGCAATTTTGTTTTTCGTTTGTTTATTTCTTTTTTCTTTTTTTCAAAATAAAAACCAGATGATGTATATGCCGAATCCAGCAGGACTTACGAGGAGCCAAAAAGAAGTGCCTCAAATAAATATTTATAAAAAGATTGAAAAATGGTTCTATATACTATTTTGTTTGAAAACTCTTTTTAAAATGCCAAATGCTGCATACAACCGATATGTTTTCTGGATAAGGTGATTGCACTCAGAACTCTAAAGAATGATGAAGGCAACATGGAATTTTAGAGGGTAACACTGTGTTGGAAAATAAGTAAGTCAAATAAAAACACCACAAAGTTTGGAACAAATGAGAAAAAAACATTCAGTACTATTTTCAAGTACTGAAAAATCTGTAGTTGTTATAAAGTTTTTAATTGAAAGAGGATTGATATTTAGAGGTCATGAAGAGAAATGGGATTCGCCAAAATATAAAAACTTCATTAAAGTGTCATTGATCATATTGCAGAGTTTATTTTTATATGAACATCTCGAAAAATGTAAAAATGTTACATACCTGTATCGAAAACCTTGTAGGAAGAATTAATAGAAATCATGGAAAAGCATGTGTAAAGTGAAATTATGAATAATATCAACAACTCAGACACCAAATTGTAATTTATTATTATTGTCTCTAAACCTGGCTTATGTTGACTAGCTGGTGATTGAGGTTCAGTATTGATATAATGGAAATGGAAAGATTTTTAACATTTTTACCAATAGAAAATCATTCATACATGACCTTGTTAACAAAATACAATAGGTCATAGGTGAACATAAGATCTCACTTAAACATATCCATGGTCAGGCCTACAATAATGCATCTAACGTGAAGGGCTCAGAAAATGGGCTGCAAGTACCCTTTAACAAGTATGCAGACTATGTACCATGTGCAACTCTTTCACTCGACCTTGTTGGAGAAAAGATGGCATTTAATGTAACTAAAATTGTTGACTATTTTGACATATTGGAGGAGTTATGTTTTGTTCTTTTTCCTGGATCTTCACAAAGATGATGAATCCTAAATACAGGGTAATCTACATTTTCCTCTAAATAGTTTAAATGTAACTAGATGTTCTCTACACTATGAAGCAGTTTGGACAATTAAATCGCGTATACAAGTATTTTATAAACTCTAAAAATTGTTTTTGAAGACTCAAAAAGCTTAAATGCAAACGAGATGCAAATAAGCTGTCTTTTGGGATTAAATGCTGGAGAAACAAGAAACTCCAATCCTCTAGTTTTGATGTATTATCTTCTAATTATCTTCTAATTATCTTCTGCTATCATCTTTACTTTCACTTGTTAAAGAAGCGTAAACTCAGCCAACAGAATTGCACATTATGAATAAGAAGCAAAACTTTTCTGTGAAAATATCAACTCAAGTTATTCTGATGCTTTCAAATGCATTGTTACAAAGAAATTGTTCTCATGGTACAAGTAAGCTTACGGTCATATCACGTTAAAATATCGGTTCTCATACGAACATCTAACTTAAGCAACGTCGAGCCTTGTCAGTACCTAGATGGGTGACAGCTTGGAAATACCATGTGCTGTAGGCTTAGTTGTGCAGGATGGTGTAATGGATAACGGCTTAGAATTGTTAATCGAAGAGACAAGTTCCAATTCCAGACGTGTTTCTTATATTCACTATTGAGAAAGGTATGAATCCACCTCTTCTACCCCCAGCTATGGGTTAATTAGTAAGACTTGTATCAGTAAATGATTATTATATGCAAAAAATTATTACAGTGTAAAAATATTTTCTGACTTTAAATAACTTGCAAAAGGTTGATAGGCGGTTTAAAAGATCTGTGGTAGAGTCTGTTAAAGAATAACACCACTAAATAAAATAACAATGGTTATCCGGACCTCGCTGTATTTTTAAATATTCCAGACTACTCTCCAGTTCTTTGCCATTTGGATGGATGTGAGGGTGATATGGAAAGTAGCGTCTCGTAATGAGTAATCGCAGAACCGAGATCGAATTCCAGTCGGGTTCGTTACATTCACTTCTGCGCAAATAACGTTGAAAAAGGTATGAATAGTTATAGGCTAAATGGTTTGTCTTATATGTGGAAAAATTACTGTTATTCTAAAAGATTTATTAATGCAATATTCACTCGCAAAAAAAAAAATATTCTTACAATCCAAAATTTGCTTCAGCTTTAAATAACCCACAAAGATTTGATAAACCGTAAAAATCAACTCAACAAACCAACTCCGTCTCTTTGGACTTTGTTGAATGTTGCCCTTGTGTTGCTGGTTGCAAGGTGAGCTCCCATAGCAGTTCAAGCTTTAGGGTCCAGTAAATGTAGATCCGCCACTGATGTATAAGAAATAAAAGTATGTGTTGGGATTGCTATGAGTTTGAATTTGGTATCAGAAGGTTTTTATATTAATATGGTTAGTTTACGGGCATGTTCACCATATTAATCCGCAATACTATAGAATATAGACATTCAAAAACGAATCAATCACAAGGCAATTGAGTAAGAAACACCGATTATGAGATTTCAACCAAACAACATGCATTTATGTACAATTAATATACAATTTGAAAACATGTAGTTTGATAATGCAAGAAATTGAACATTGATAAGTTGGGTTTCTTATTGATTTACAGTTCAAAATTGTTCAAGTGTTTAAGAACTGGTCAAACAGAGTAAAATGGAAAATTATTTATACAGAAATTTGTGTAGTTTGTATGCGTGAATAAAGTAGGAGTTTGTATGCGTGAATAAAGTAGGGTTTAATTGTCTAAATTCTCCAGAGTTGTTTACCTTGGATTGTTCTGTGTTTGTCTTTGTTTAAAATACAATTTATATTTTAGTAGTGTGTAAGAACACTTTTCTTAAAAAGTTGTAAGTGAGATGTGAGAGATTATGTTGATGTTTGAGTCAGCAGTTGACGTGCGAAAAGTATCTTAAGTCAAAGTAGTGACACGCGTGGATTTGTACGGCATCTCTCTGAAGTTTATTGACTGACTGGTGAATTGGGTCGAGATGGTCCTTTTTATTTGTTTCTGGAAACCAAAATAGGCTCCAGCGAACTGGGCGCGAAAACAGTTTTTCCACAATTGTTACATGTCTCAACCAATAGAAAGTCGAGATTTGCAATGCGAGGTGTTGGTTGGTTAAAACTGATTCTGATGGAAGAGTGTATTTTATCTCGGAGGTGAGTATGAAATATGGACGATTCTATATATGTATAAGGTGCAATACAATCCACAGTTCCACGCATTGCCAAACCTGGATACGAGCTGATTATTGATCTCGTTACTGTCGGCACTTTGTGCGAGACTTTGCTTTGAGGGTGTCAATCCAACCTTCTAAAATCAATGTACATTATTTAAAGACAATGAAAATAAGCAGAAAATAAAAGTTAATAAAGATCATGAAAGCAGTTCTAATCATGGCAAAGATGAATATCTTGGATAGTGCATCTATTTTTGAAATGATTTTTGAAGGTACGGGAAAAGTTTCATTCGAGATACGCCCATTTCTTTCAAGTGATTTTTTTAAATCTAGGTTATTCTTCTTTTTTTTTTACCCTGTCACAATCTTTTTCTCACCAGCCTTCCCATGCAACAACACGGTTCCTCGTACGTTTATCAATTTTGTTATTGTTGTTGCTAATAAAAGAGCCTCACCCACGAGGCCACCGCCAAATAAAATTCAAATTTCTATGACCTTCACCGTTTTCTTGTTTTCGTTTATCTATTTCTGTAAAGACTTCACTGCTTTACATGCCTGTTAATACTGGGGGGGTATTATATATAACTGTTAATATAAAATCTTTTTGTTAATGCAAAGGGAAAATAATTGTTTGTTTGTTTTGTTTTACGTCTAGGCCTAAAAATGTGTGCAACAACTCAATGTAGGATTTCCAATTCAAGATGACTAAAACCCACTCAACTTATATAACCCCAAAAGCTCAAGAATGGGACAAACAGGGGGACACTAAGATTAAAATTCTAAATGTAATAAAATACTAAATTCAAATGGACAGTTAAAAAATATTCAATAATCTTTTACGACAATAAAAGGATGTGAATCAGTTTTAAAAATTTTGTCTCTGGGAGCCTCTAAAAACTCTTAGACTGATAGAAACGAATTTAAACAATGTACTTTAGATTTATACAGAAAGAAATGCTACTCAGCATGGGAAAGCAATCAGAACCTCGATAAAACAAAGTCAGCAGATAAAATAGTACTATCATACCTACTGAATTACACTTTTTTCAATTTCTTTCTAAGAAAGGACAGTTTATTTGGTTCTCAAAAAGGAACTTTTCACACTTTGATACCGAATTTTTAAGGAGACTTTATCATCTTTTATGCAAAAATACGAGATTTTTTATGGACTCTTTTACTTTACTTATACATTCATCATTCTTTTTACCTTACTTAATACATTCATATTCGATACACATTTGACATGTTTACTCAGGTTCATTCAATATCTCAATTCAACTCACTGGAATAATTTCATTTGTAAAAGACGCTGCGCCTGCTATATATCTAGAGAGTCTTGATAAAATTCAAAGAAGAATCTGTAATGTTATTGGTCCTGACCTGGCATCTAGGCTACAGTCTCTTTCCCATCGTCGTAACTCAGCTTCCTTGTGCCTTTTCTAAAAATACTTTCATGGTAATTGTTCTGATGAACTTTCCTCTATGGTACATAGAGTATGAATTTAAGCGCAGTACTTGATTGACAGCAAGGTCTCAACATTTTACAGTTGAAATGGCTAGATACAACCGTAAGTTCTATGCTAACAGTTTCTTCTCTCGCACATCTCGCTTGAGGAATTTTCTTCCGGCTTCTTGCTTCCCTGAAAACTTTGATCTTCAAAGATGTAAATGCAATATCAGTCGTTATCTTTTGTCTTCATAATACCTGTACTTTTATAGTCTTCTCTCCTTAATAGTATATTTTTTCTCATATTCTCTAACAATCAGTAACACCTTGCGTTTTAGTGGCTTTATTGTCTTGTTTGGGGTGAAATAATTAAAAAAATGTGTATAGAAAAAAATGAATTATTTCGTTTCTTCCTTCAATTTTTTTTTCAACTTCTTTTCCTTCATTTGTTATTGAAATTGACATGCGTGAAATCTATATCATAATAGCTGATTCTCTGTCCGTCATACACTGTTTGCGCGTGACTTTGCATGCGCTTATGTAATGTATATACGTATTTCTGCGTTGTACATGATTTGATTTGACATTTAATGAACACACAAGAACAAGCAGGCACCCATACACACGATTTGACAGAGTCTGAAATAAGACACTGGAATAATACATTAGCCTCTCACTCAGTCTGGACAATTCCTGGGCTGAGCAATAAAGTTGGAGTCAAGAAAATAAGTTAATCTTTAAATCCTAAATATTAAGATTTTATTGAACATTTCGAAAATTATTCTGTAATAAATAGGATTGTATTTTAAACTGTTTTTTTTTATTTTGTAGAAATCTTCTTGGACCTGTTATTGAATTAAAATATACATGTAGAAACGCAAATCCATACACAATATGAATGGGATTAAAATAGACATTTGTATTGCGAGGGCTAATTTCTCCTTTCAAGCCGAAATACGCGGATCCTTCTAAGACTGTATTTAAACTGAATATATTTTCTAATAAATATACGATTTTAAATTTTGCGGCGTTTGACAAAACTATCCCTAGTGCTGCTTATTCCGTGTTCAATTTCCTTATCTTCTATACTAAATCGATTATAAATAGATATCTCCAAAACTTTGCTAAAAAATGAGCATACATGATGAAAAATATCCCAAACTTAATAAAAACAAAGTTATGACTTATTACTGATCCATAAACCAAATATTTGAAGTGCTTACTATTTATTAATTTCACACTGAGAATTTTTATGATGATAGGCGCCATCACCACTTTCATTCCAATTCCAGATCATTGTTTCTGTTTTGGAAAGGATTATCTTAAGTCCTATTTTTTGGAACACTTGGTAAAGAATGTTGATTCTTATCCCATCTATGAATACCTATGTCATCAGCATAGCCACCACTCTTCATCATTAGTATACTGGCCTCTAGAGGAAAACAGGAACGCAATTTTCTAATAGTATATTCGTTTTGGATGTGATATGGAATGTTTAAATGATCGATGTCCATTTGTTCACATCTGTGTTTGTGTGTGTGCAAAGTATTGTCTAAGAAGTGATTAAATAGTTTGGGGTCCTCATTTCCTCTTTGCCGTACTTCTGATGATGTCTGAAATGATTCGACGTCAACACCAGAGATATACAATTTTGTGGACTGATGTAGTTCTTCTATCAGATCAAAGCATTCAGTGGAGTCAGAACTTGGAAGAGGGCTTCTGATGGATGAAAAGAGGAAGTCTATATTGACGTCCTCCTATGTTGCTGTGAGATTCAACATGGCAGGTATGCAATTTTCTACCTGATATGTATACGATTTCCTGGAGTTGCTTAATGACATATCGCACCCCTTACCAGAATAAAAGTCAAACAAAATACGACGTACCTATGATATGCAACTAACATCAAGGTTTGCGTTGGTGCTGTAGTAAAAACAGAACCAGTAAATAAACTTATACCAAAGCTTTATTGCACTTTATTCTGACTAATCGTCTACTGGCGGATATTACAAGGTGCATTTTATGCTTCCTAGATCTTAAAGGGAGGTAACTGATGATTTATCAGTACAGGTACATTGTTCTAAAATGAGATTTATCAAGAAATCATCTGATATATGTAGATTTAGCCTATTTTCTATTTGAAAATATTTTTAAGTTTATTTGCTTTTTTAGTAATTTTTTTTTTTTAGTTCTTGTTAATAGTTTAGGCGGCTGACTAAAACTTTCCTTTTCGACCTCACCTGGTGAGTCCCTGAATGACACGTCCCTTGGTAATCCGTGTAACGGATGATACAGTATGTAATTAAGTTTTTTGAAATTGTCAGATCAATGAAATTAGTTTTATATCAGAGTTTTTTTCCATCTCCTACACAAATCGCCTTCACCAAGTCTGAGGGTGTTCATCCCACCCATTCAAATACACACACACACATACATATATATATATATATATATATATATATATATATATATATATATATATTTGTCCAAGTGGAAAGTCGACCGACTATTTATGTAATGAACGTAATGACAGTTACCATTGACAGAATGAGAAGTTCGTAATATGTAAAGTTTTAACAATCTCAACATCTCGTTAAAAAAATGTACGAATTTTAAGGAAAATATCCCTACTTTGACCATGAGGAACTATCCGAAAAAAAAAAACACCAACCATTAGTTCTGTGGAAGTTTGAAGGAGTGAAAATTTGGCTTGTAAAAAATATTCACCTCGGAAAAGAAGAAAACAAATAAAGTGCAAATCCAAATTTTTATATCCCAGAAATTGTTGAGGTGATCTACAAAACGTGTTTTTTTCGTACAGTTTCTTCTTATGAAGAGAATTTTTGTAGCACCTGAAATAGACTAGACACAGCAAAATTTATTTATGACTCCTTTTACTAATTCGACTGGAACGTTTACTCCGAGTTCGGACTGAATACTTCATATATTGTCCTTTTATTTATACCTAACATGTGGACGTTGTAATAAATACATAAATAGGCGCGAATATTGAACAGAAAAATGCTCGACTCGATTTAAAATTGTATTACTTGAAGTGTATAATATTTCTAACTTAAATGCTGAAATATTGCGCACTAATAATTTAATATATGTTTTAAATGCCGTGTAAATTTTATCTATCGCCATATGTTATAAGTTTTATTATAAGCTGGATTCAACTCAATAATAAGTAGCAATATCGAATATAAGTAATTTTCATTAAAAAAAAAGTTTTTATTTTATCTGAAACGTTTGCTCTAATAATGTGTCTGCTATAATTTGAATCTAGTTTTTCATTTTACCACATGTTATTTATATAGATTTTTAAACTTTTTTACATGCACTAAAAGTTATTTTTTTTAGAAAATAGTACATCCGGCAAGTGCGTTAAGTGAAACAAATTAAACTATGAAATTTATAACCATTTTTGGAAGGATCTATAGACCAAATAGAAAAGAGAATAAAGATTAATAACAAATGAAATTACTTATTCCATCACAAAAAACGAATAGAAGGTGCTAAAACTTTTTTTTTTCTTTTAGTTTTATACATCTTCGAATTTTAATGAAAATGTCTCACCTTTTTGTCCAAGTTAAAAAAAAAAAATAAATACTCATCAGTTCCTTTTTAATCAAAATAGTACAATCGGCAATTGAGACCAGTGAAAAAAATTAAATCGTCTGCAAGCAATATTTCTGAATGTTCATCTTTATTTTATTTTATTTTTTAATTGAAAATTCCATTTAAATATGGTAATGTACGTTATTTATTTGCTTTTTGAAAAAAAGTGTAATTAACATTAATGGGAAACAACTTGTATGAATTATTTCCCTTCCTTCTGGGTAAATCTAAGGGAGATAATATTTTCTACTATTTCGTTCCTTAATTCTTTTTGTATTTATTTTATTAATTTGAGTTCTTCAGTTAAAACCATGAACAATGTAAGCATATTTATTCTATCCTGTATAAGAAAAAAGGATCAACGACGCTACCAATTTTAGGTTTATTGTTATTACAACTGTTTACGAATTCGTTTCAATTTCATTTTCAAAATTGTAGGAATTTATTATTTTAAAAAATGCTGATTATGTTCTGTGTAGTTAGTGAGGAACGAAAATATTCTGATTAGTTTACAAAACAAAGATCATTTGAATGTGATAAAGATGAAAGTAATAAAGCACTTGAAATCATGCTAGCTAGAAATTTGTTTTTCTCCTCTATTGAAAATATATAGATCAAAATATACAAATGAAGAACAATTATATTCTATTACTTTTTGCTTTCCTTAGAGACCCTCTAAGTTTCCTATCTTTACAAGACGACAGCTGTTTTTTAACATTAACAGTATTATCCAAATTGATAATAGTCTAGAAAAATAATTTATCTCTTGAATTATACGTCCTCATTATAAGTAAGGACTTGCGGCCACATTACGTTGAAACACCGGTTCCCGCACGATCACTGAAGTTAAGCAATCTCGAATTTGATCATTACCTAGATGAGTGACCGCTTGAAAATACCAGGTGCTGTGAACTTGGGTGTGCAGGTGGTGTAATTATAATGGCTGTGAATTGTTAATAGGAGAGTCAAGTTCCATTTTCTATGGGGTTCGTTATATTCACTTAGGCGCAAATACCCTTCGAAAAAGTATGAATTCGCCTCTTCTCTCCCTATGGGTTAATTAGTAAGAATTATATCAAGTAAACCATTATCTCCAAAAAAATTATAGAATCTAAAAAAATATTTTCCGGTTTAAAATAGTCTGCAAAAGGCTGATAAGCAATAGAATACGAATCAATCAATAAATCATTATACGCAAAGGAAAAGTATGTATTTCTTGATGTCTGCAGAAGTATCTACTTCAGGATAATCGCTGATGTGTTGGATCAAGTAATCCCCCCTGTCAAAATGTCTATTAACACTAACAGTTTTCAAACACAAAAACTTAATTAGTAGGAATAGCAAGTCATAATAATAGGTGCAAAATTGCAAAAAAAAAAAAAACAACTACTGCGTAAAATATTAAAAGGAAAAACACATTTAGACAATTACGAAAAAGTACAAATATAAATTTTGCACAAAATTTTCTTTTTGTGTGAACAATTTCAGAAAGGATTACCATCAAAAAATGGAAAAAATGCAGTTTGGGAAAAGACGAGTATTTTGAAAATGACAAAAAGTGAAAACAATACAAAATAGAAAAAAAAAACAAAGGTGCAACAACCTTCGAGAAAAAAACGAAAAGATCTACTTTTAACTTTCACTTGCCCCATGAGTGTCTCTGGGACATACAGTAATTTTTGAAAAGTCCCTTTTAACTTCACACAGTTCGTGCTTAGGAAAAATTCTTAGAATTCTTCTCGCTCTTGGTTGTTCAATCACAGGAGGATTTTCACTTGAACTTCAAAATTCTTTAGTCTCTCTGTAGCTGGCCGGTAACTGGTGCCTTCTTTGATGTTCACTTCTTGGTGTCAAGTGTCTTCTTTTATGTTGCCTTTTCCCCTTGGTGTTGTTATATTCCGTATTTAGTTACGTGGGCGATGTGAAAACAATGTGGGCGAAATACTGCGTTTGGTTGCAAACAATGAAATTCAGAATCGAAAGAACAAGAAAGACTGTAGATTTTATAGTCTTTTCAGTGAGGAAAATAAGAACAAGTAAAAGGTTCGTATTTAAGAAGTTGAGTGTCTATGGTAGTGGCAAGTAAAGTTCGTGGAGTTAACTTGACTTATGGAAGGGGAAAGCGTCGGACGAGAGTTCATTAGCAGCAGCAGTCACATGCTTCGTCCGTCGCCGGGCCAGTGTGTCAGTAGCGAGCGACGTGACCCTTCTGCCTCCGCCGTTGAATGGGACTATATTTAGTCGTCCCCCTACGAGGGCGTCATGTGGCACAAGGCCTTTTTAACGTGGCATTTCCGAGCCATTAGGCTCGGCCAAAAAATAGCCCATTTGAACCCGTATAAACGGGTTCAGGGCCGGTTTTACCTCCCCAAAGGAGACTCCGCCCTTCGGCGTAGCCTCCTTCGGGTTCCTCTCGCCCGAAAGCAGAGAGTTGAACCGAACCGTCGCTCAAGACTTGAGCGCCGTTGAATGGGACTCCCTTTTGACTTTCCCGTGTTGAACTTATACACGCCTATCGGCTCCAAATGGCAATTTTTTGACTACGCAGGAGACGGTCCGATTGGTTGATCTAATTCTTTCATTTTCTTTTGAGTTTATCCCAAACGGAAGTATCTGCGTCGAGCCTATGCGTAGACGTGCAGTTTTCATTTCGAGTCGTGGACTCGTGATGGTAACTTCCGTTTATCGAAGCAGGGCAAGATCTCATCTTGTAACAGCTCCCCCAGATCTTACCCTGATTTGATTTTTTTTTTTTTTTCATTTTGTTTTATAGCCCATTACGAAGTCTTGGAAGCGTGCTGGATGTTGCCCGCGTGTTTTCCGTTTTGCTGTATTTTGGCTATTATTGCCGGAACTGCAGTCATCTGTGATATGATGCTCCCCTGACGAAAGTGTAGGAGGCCGTGTCAACGGGTTATGGGGGATTTGGTGGAGCGGAGATGGGGGTGGGGGTGGAGGTTTAAAATGTTTATATCTTTTCTATTTCTGCTGTCCAGAATTCTGAAATCAAAAACTTCAATGTTCCACGATTGATTCAAACACTGTAAAGGGGCTTCCTCAAGTTCGTGTTGCATCCCATCATTTTTGTAGCGAACACTTGGGGAAAGGTGAAGAATGCATCAATGAAAATATAAGGATCAAAGCAACAATGATTAGGATAATAACCTAAATAATTCATGGAATGTTAAAATTTTACAAAACGCAACTAGTTAAAGCACCACGCATGCCATAAAGAGAAAAGAAATTCTTAATCAAACACACAAGTGGTTTACGAGGGAAAAAAAAGGTGGGTGAAATATTTTACATTTGAATCCAAAATATTTGCATGTTTACTTAAAGCAAAGAAAAAGTTATATAATTTACATAATTTGGTACATTTTTTTAGTTATAAAATTTGCATAATTTTTTTTAAATTATTTCCGATCTAGAATTGCAACAACCAATTAATGCTGTCATTGTCTTCATTTTTTTTAACTAAATGTCTATTTATCAATGACTAGCAGTAGAGCCCGGCGTTGCCCGGGGATGTAACAGTAAGAGATAGATCAAGTATCGACCATCATAAAGACTGAAAAATAAAATTGACAAAGATTATTGTTTAAGGTTGATGGACACGCATGTCTTAATTAGTTTTATTTTATTTTTTATTTTTTATTTTTTTTACGAATTGGTCAAAGCCAAACTCAAACAAAAACATTGTTTTCAATCGTTATGAATCTACCGATTGAATAGAATTTTTCAATTTTATTATAAACAATTGTCTTGTAAATGGAATTTTTAAAGCATTCTGAATGTAAAAATGAAGAAAAAAGTGTGCAAAACAATAAGAAACACTACCTGCCAAAAAAAAAGTGAAGTTTTGTTGGAATCGGTTGAAAATGTAGGAAATTCAATCCCATATATAAGCGAACACACACACACACACACACACACACACACAACCAACCAACCTGGGTTTTATAATAAGTATAACTCGATATTAATAAGTATAATTCGATATGAGTTGTCCCCCTTTCATTAATGTCTCTTAATCGTGTTTTCAAATTGATTTCGTGCAAAAACAACTGTGTTTTTAAATTTTTGGCGCTGTCAGAACCACCGCAAGGTAATTTTACGTAGTCCTGTGAAGTTTTGTTGAAATCGGTTGAAAAATGTAGGAAATCCGATCCAATATATATACGTACACACACACACACACGCGCGCGCGCACACACACAACCTGGGTTTTATAATAAGTAAGATAAAGAAATAAATAGCTCTGCTTTCTCTGAATTAAAGCGGCAATCTTTATGGTAATATACGTCCCACTAAACAAGTATTTGAGAGGGTGAAATATTGCAAAATAAAAATTCTTTCGTGACACAGTTTGATAGGTGTGAGCTGATTATTATAAATTTGGGTTTATCAAGAACTTTATGAAAATACATATAATAAGAAGCTAATGGAAGAGAGGGACATGTCTTAAGTTACAACCATCTTTATTTTTCTCTGTCGGCTGGACGCGAGTCGAGAAGTTTACTCTGCACATTTTATTGGTTGACAGTAAGTGTGACATTGTATTTGTTTTTGTGCCATGCTTTATTGTATTTTTGACTGTTTATTGTTTGTGTTTTTCGTGAGGTACCCCAGGAAAAAGGCGGAGGTACCCCAGGAAAAAGAGCCATTGGCCAGTACTTCAACAGCGCCGTCAGCATGGGTGGCGGAAAGGCCCAAAAAGAACCCACTTACTACAAGGGCTTGAGAGAAGAGTACAACTCATTCATCTCAGGCCATGAACTTTTACCGGTGCCTTCGGTTATGGAGGCAGTTACAATGAGGACCTTCTCCCTGTTGACAACAGACATCAAAAGCCGCAAGTTTATTGTTGTCAGCAAGGAGACGATGGAGGAGGCCTTCAAGCCCCTGAACATTGGGGCCAAAGTATTGTCCCGTAGGTCAAATGCTATGTGGGACATCCTGCTGGCTACAAAAGAGGCTGCAAAAGCATTAACTGGCAGTGTCCTCGCCACAAAGACCCTGAGATTACAAACAGAATACATGGGCACCCGGAAGACCCGGATTACTTTACATGGGGTGCAAATGTACATCTCTGAGTACCATCTGAGGGCCTTTTCCTCTTATTACAGACTGTGGAGAGTCTATCCCTCATCAGAATCAAGGCGGGCATTGCCACCAGTAACTACGAAGTCGTGGTGATATTGACCCGTCCCAAATTTAACGAGATCCCAACATAATCACTTGTGACGGCTGGAAAATTTATTTGGTCGCTGAGGGTTGTCGCCCTTCCTGTTGTGCTTGTAGTGCGTCCGGACACCTGGCCAAGCTGTGTCCAACCACGAGGCCTCCACAGACGCAACCAAAAACCGCAACCGGAACAGCCCAGGGAGAAAGCAACTAAGGTCTCCAGTGGGGACTGGACTGAGGTGGTGAAAAAAGGAGTGAAGGCGACAACTCCGCCTCCCCAGCAGGATGTACCGAAAAAGGGAGCTGCCAAGAAACAGCAGCAGCCAAAGCAGCAGCAGGCGAAAGAGCAGCGGCCAAAGCAGCAGCTGCAACAACAACTGGAGCCGAAGCAGTAGTGGCAGCTGGGGCAGGAGCAGCGACAGCGGAAATCGCCGGAGAAGCTTCAACAAAAACAGCAACCCAAGCAACAGCAGCAGAGAGCAGCAACCGGAGCAGGACCTCCATGAAAAACTAGTGCAGCAGACGATCCAGCCACAGGAGGACTTACCACAGCTGGATCTCTTCATGGATGTGGAGGAAGTGCCTCCACCGCGATCCTCATCACTGAAAAGAGGGAGGGATGACAAGCAGGAAGACGATACAAAGTGCACCAAAAGGAGAAGAGTTCTGATCAGAGTAGGACGGAGAAGGTTCTGGTAGCTGCCGAGACCTAATCCGTTTCTGCTT